AACCACTAATGGCAAAGGTGAAGAAATCAAAGATTTTTACCAACTTCCACAGTCTGAAACTGATCAAACATGCTATCCTCTAGATGCATTAATAATTACTGGTGATTGGAATGCTAAAGTTGGTGGGAAGAAGAAGAATCAGTATAGTTGGAAAATATGGCCTTGATGATAGAAACAATGCCAGAGATCGCATGATAGAATTTTGCAGGATTGATGACCTATTACTCATTGCAAATACCTTTTTTCAACAATGTAAATGGTGACTATACATGTGAATCTTGCCAGATGGAACACAGGAATCAAATCAACTATATCTGTGGAAACAGATGATGGAAAAGTGTGCTATCAGAACAGTCCATCAATTGCTCATACGCAAGTTCAAGCTGAAGCTGAACAAAACTAAAGTCCATGAGAGCCAAAGTACAACCTTGAGTATAATCTGAATTTAGAGACCATCTCAAGAATAGATTTGATGCACTGCACACTAATGACTGAAGACTAGACAAGTTGTGGGATGACATCACACATGAAGAAAGCAAAAAACAAATCAAACCGAACCCACTGCCATCAAGTTAATTCTGGCTCACAGAGAACCTTTAGGAGAGAGCAGAATTGGCCCATAAGGTTTCCAAGGCTATAAATCTTTATGGAAGCAGATTGTTCCATCTTTCTCTCAAGGTGCAGCTGGTGGGTTTGAACCACCAACCTTTTGGTTAGTAGCCAGATGCTTTAATCACCGTGCCACCAGAACTCTCTGAAGAAAGCAAAAGGTGATTAAAACGACAGGAAAGAAAAGACCAAAATGGATGTCAAAGGGACTCTGGACCTTGCTTTTGAATTCAGAGCAGCTAAAGTGAATGGAACTCAACGGAAGATTCTGCTATTATGAACCTTATTTTATAGACTTGAGGCTGAGAGTTCAAGACACTTGCCTGAGGCTCCACAGCTGGAAGGTAGTGGAACTGGGAGGCAGGGCCCAGGCATTAACCACTAGTCTATCCCGCTTCTCCACCAGCCACCTCTGTTTTCCCTACACTGTTGAAACGGTGAGCCTGCAGGCTTTACTCCCCAGCAGCAGCCTCCCTCCTCCTTCAATGCCAATAAGTGGTCTCCTCCTCAAGGAAGCCCTCCTTGATTGCTCACCCTCATGGGCAGACCCTCAGTTCTTTGCTCCCCTGGTGGTCAACTCTGAGTTAGTCATCTTCCTATCAACCAGGCCTTGCCTTACTCAATCCACACTTCCCCAAAGACAGCCCTCCCTAGAGAGGGCATCCTGGGAGTCTGAAGACCTGGGCTTAAGTCGTTGCTCTGCCTCAGTGACGCTTGGGGCCTCAGATCCTCACCTGTAGGAGCACTTAGTGACATACGGGATGGTGCAGGCCTTTGTAAACTGTGGAGTGCTGTCCAGGGGGAGGCATATGACTGCTGCATAATGGATGTGACCAGGTTCTCTGAATCTCTCTGGTTATTAAGGCTCTGACTGGTCCCTCGGGGAGGGGAGCAGGTGGCTGAAAGCAGCCCTGGAGCCTACTTCATCTCAGCCCCCCACTCCAGGGCTAGAGGTGGGTAGGGGACTGATGACTTGGCCCTCCTTCGCAGCCCTCCCCACCTGGAAGCATGTGTCTGAGACGCCCCTGCCAATCCCGAGTGTAACAGGTGAGTGACTACCGATCCCCAGGGTTGGCCCCGGCCCTCTGGTCCTCCTCCCACTCCACCACCCGATGATTACAAGGTGCTCTGTAGCCTGACTGCCATGGACTCTCATCACGCAGGGCTCAGCTCCGCGGGGGGGGGGGGGGGTGCCTCATTATCACCCACTCCTTTCCTGTGGCATCATCCACTCTGCGGCCACAGCCCACCGGCCCAGCCTGTGCCAAAGGGAGTCTGACCCCCACCCCACAATAGTGCAGTCTCTTTCCTTTTGTAGGGATGGGGAGTCCTTGGGCTCAGAGATGTGGTAGGGCTGACCAGCCAAGCCCTGAAGACTCCAAGGTCCTCATGCTCCTTGGGGCAGCGACAGGGGCTGAGGGTTGCTTATTTCACAGGTCCCAGGCAAAGGGCTGCTCCTCTTCTCTGGGGTGGGGGGTGGGGCATAATATGGGGGGCAAGGAGTCCCCAAAGTACAGCTCTACGGACAGCAGATGAGGGTGAGGAGGGGACACTGGTGCACCGGGACAGGGGGCAGCTCCCGGGGTTACTTGTCCTGCCGGAGAGGAAGCTCCTGGAAGGACTGGGGGGAGGAGTTGTGGGAGCGCCCCATCTGGTTCTAGTCACGATGGAGTTGCCGGGTTGTACAAGGTGAGGGAGGAACCCTGATGGTGCAGTGATTTAAGCGCTCGGCTGCTCTTAGGCCGTTCCGCGGGAGAAAGATGTGGCAGTCTCCTTCCCTAAAGATTACAGGCTTGGAAACCCTATAGGGCTGTTCCACTCTGTCCTACAGGGTCTCTATAACCCGATGGGAACTGGTTTTTTTTTTTTTTTTTTTTTTTTCCTGGTACAGGCTGAGGGATGCAATAGGGGCGCGCGGCGGGGGACAGGATCCCGAGGGTCAGACCTCTCCAGCCCCCAGGGCACACGCTGGGGGGCGCCCCGGCTCAGGATTCAGTCGGAGCACCCGGAGGATCCCGGCTCGCGGGCATCCCTGCCGTCCGGCCCCGCCCCCCCTCCCGCTGACCTCTCACGGAGTCCAGGGCGAGGGCCACCAAGAGGCTCAGCCAGGGGCCGCAGGGGCCCCCCGTGGCCGCTGCCGCGCGCCCTGCCACCCGGGCGCACATCCTCCGACGAAAGGCGGCGGGTCTAGGCGGGCGGCTCAGGTGGCCGCAGTCGGGCCGGTCATCTTCCGCGCCGGCTCCGCGCCGCGCGGGCCCGGCCAGCAGGTCCCAGCTACCGCCCGCCCGGTGGCCGCAGTTCCCAGACAATGGAGAGAGCGCGAGGGTGGGAGGGAGGCGAGCAGCACATGGGCTGCCCCTCTGCCCGCCCGCCGGGTCCTAGTGCCCAGCGGATCCGATGCCCGGAGAGCCCCCGGGGCCTGAGGTCAGGAAGGAGGCTGCTTCCCTCCGGATTAACCTAACCAGGGACTGTCCTGCCTCTGCCAGGAGGGACAGGAGGTGTTGGGCTTCCTTTGGGAAGCTCCTGGCCAAGGACAGAAAAGCCACTTTCTCTCCCACGACTCCTCCCCTACGCACCCAAGCAGGTTACTTACATCCTGAGACCAGAGTAAGACCAGAACGCAGGGACACCGGAGAGCAGGTCTGCAGCGGTAGGAAGGGCCAAATGAGGCCAGCTGACGACCAACCACCTGGGCCTACCCTGACAGAACCTTGGGCCACCCAGTGCAGGAAGGCTCCAGGCAGGCTGCTCGGGTTTCATACCCAGCCCAACCCCAGGAAGAGGCCCGTGGGGCTGAGACGGGTAAGGGCTCATCTTGCTCCTGAAGGTAGAGCTGGTTCAGGAGTCTTGGGTCCTGGCCTAGCCCCGCTTACCAGGCAGTGTTGGGAGATCCCAGGGCAGGGAAGCTAGCTGCCTGGGCCCCTTAAAAAAAAAAAAAAAACTGTCTCATCATGAAACAAGAGACCCAACCTATTGGCCTGAATGAGAACCTGGAGGGCACTGAGAGGAAGGAACGCTGGTTCACCCTGACAGGTTTTTATTTAAAAACAATTGGAACCTGGGTGTGAGCGCACATCTCCAAGGTGGTGGTGTTTGTTGGGGGGGGCGGGCACCAGGGAGGCTGGCTGGTCTCCTCCTGGCCCCGGGCCAGCTCCCTTCCCCTTTCTCCCCCTACAGTACTGGTTCTTGTGGAAGGTCTGTGATGGGGCAGGTCCTCCCCATTCCTCATTCTCCAGCAGGGGAGGGTACTGAGTACCAGCTTGCCTTCTCTGCTCCCTCTCCTCCTCCCTGCTGCCAGGGTCATACTGCCCCCACTGGGAGAAGTCGAGAAGGCAGGGTGGCCTTGCAGAAGAGGGGTTTTAGCTGTAGAGGGCAAAATCAAAGCAGTGCAGACTTTCAGTAAATATATTTTACGTGGAACAAGATACTAAAATAGCGTGCACTTTATTTAAAACCAACCAAGCGCTGATAAAATATTTATCACTGCGGCTGTGATTCCACGTCAGACTGTAACGGTAAGAATCGGGCATTTATTCTTCCTATCACAGCCAGGTCTGGCAAAGAAGGACACCCTCCCCACCAGATGTGGCCCCTAGCTGCCAAGAACGAGAGCTTGGTAGAGAGGGGTCAGCCAGCGGGTCCACTCTGCGCCCCGCAGGGCACGGGAAGGGAAAGGGGCTGCGGGATGCGTCCTGTCTGCTCCTCCTGGACTGCCGGGCCGGCACTGAGCAACAGCTCCACGGTAGCAGTGAGTGGAAGGGGAGGGCAGAGAACAGCCTGGACCACTCAAACAAGACGGTCCTCCTCCTTCAGGGTCTCTGAATCCCACCAGGCACCTGATGGCCACTGTAGGGTCCCACTCAAGGACAAGCTTCTGAAGCAACAGCCCTCCTCAAGATTGTGAAAGACGCTGCTCTCTTCCTGACACGAAGCAGCCGCAGTCCACTTTCCTGTATCCAGCATGGCCACGGGCAAGCGGAGGGCCCGGTGGGCTCGGATTAAGGCACTTGTAAGACTCCTGTCTGTCCTCACTCCCAGCCCCATGCTGGAACTCCACCCCAGGCCTCAGGGGACCCTGCGTCACCATATCCTCAGGCCCCCATTTCCAGCTTCTTCCTCACTGCTAGGCAGTGAAGAGGACAGGGGCCTGCCTTGAAGGACTGTGCTTTGCTTGAAATACAGGGCTGGAAGGAAGAAGAAACCAGGAAGGGAGCAGGTGGCTTGGAGCTACAGAAGGACAGGTGAGCAAGAGCAGCAGGCAGGGGCAAGGCAGCAGGGGGAAGTGGTGAAGTCATGGTAGACTGGCGGCAGTGACGTTCGCCGAGAGCAGGGGTGGGAGCTAGAGCAGAGGCCTTCCATCCCGCCCTGGCTAAGGCCTCTCCAGCCCCCGGGCACACGCTGGCGAAGGCAGCCTGGGAGCGCAGGCAGAGAACCTCAAGAGCCAGGGCCCCTGAGGACCAGCGGGGGCAACGGGCTTCCTCTCGTTCAGCTAGGGGGTCTGATGCAGAGGCAAAGGTTCTGCAGGTTTGGAGACAGGGCAGGAAAAGGGCAGGGGCTGGGAGGAGGCTGTGCGACCAGAAGCAGCTCAGCTCTTTGGTATGATGCAGGTGGCACTGCCGGGCACCCTTCTCACTCCTCCTCCACACCTCGGAACCCCTTGGCTACACGCTTCTGCCGCCAGCACAGCTCTTCCACCTGGCGCTCCAGCCCCCGCACCTTGGCCTCCAGCAGGGCCCCAGACGCCCGGGTGCCAGTAAGCCGGCTCAGCAAGGCATAAAGGGTCAGCAGGGCCAGGAGCAGCAGGGCCCGGGTGCAAGGGTCAGGCACCGACCTCACCAGGGCCACAAAGCCTGCCAGGAAGATGACAAGCTTCAGGCCCCACAGGATCCGTCCCAGCAAAGCCAAGACCAAGCCGAGGAGCAGGGACAGCAGCCAGTAGATGACCAGCGCCCCGGCTCCCCACAGCAGGAAGGTCTGGACCTGGCCAGGGCTCAGCTTCAGGCCCTGGGTGAGGTGATCACCTGGAAGGAAAGAGAGTCAGTGTCAGGCAACCTGGAGGAGTGGTGATGGGACAGGGGGCAAGACCCAAACAGGCAGGGAGGCGCTAACCCCCCTGGGCAAGGGAACAATCCCTTCCCACAGAGTCAAAGAGACGGGGTGGGTCTGAATCACAGCTCCATCTTCTGCTGGTGGCAGGACCCTGGGCAGATTATACCCTTTTCCAAGTTCCATCTATTAAATGGGAGCAACTCTACTGGGTTGTGGCTAATAACTGAGTGAGATACTACAGCTTGCATGGTGCCTGCCATAAAGTAAACCATTTTGTATTTAAAAAAAAACAAAAACCTTTGCCATTGAGTTGATTCTGACTCATGGCGACCCCGTGTGTTACACAGTAGAGTCCATAGGATTCTCTTGGCTATAATCTGTATAGAAGGAGCTCTGGTAGCATAGTGCCTAAGGCACTTGACTGCTAACCAGAAGGCTGGCGGTTCAAATCTACTAGCCACTCCTTGGATGGAAGATTGGGCAATCTACTTCCGTAGTGATATTGCCTCGGAAACCCAAGGAGTCGGGTCTGACTTGACGACACATAACAACAACAAAACAATCAGCACAGAAGCAGATTGCCAGACCTTTCTTCTGTGGCCCCTCTGTCTGGGTTTGAACCACCAACTTTTAGGTTAGTAGCAGAGAGCAAATTGCTTGTACCACACAGGAACCTAAACATCTCCTTCAAGCTGGTCATTTTCAGCTGCTCTGGGAAACCTGAAAAGTGTCAGCTTGGAACAGTCTTGACCCTGACAGAGATCAACTCCTGCAGACAGAAGTCACAGGCCAAGCCCTGGGTGATCTAACCAGATCTTTGCCACTCACCATCTAGCCCCAAGACATTCAGAAGTTGTGCCGAGATTCCAGACAGAGCAAAGAAGGCCACGGAGACGGCTGATGAGATGGCCCACATCACTTGAGACGAGGTCTGGGGAAGAGCGCGGGTGAGGTGGGTCCGTAACTAACGAAGCTGCTTGCCTCCCAGCCCGAGCACAACCCCTGGCAAACCTCCCAGCCCAAGCTCAACCCCCGGCAAGGACACCAGGAGCCTCCCAGTGGTTTGTTAGCCAGTGGGGCTGGGCCTGGGTCAGAGGTTCGTGGGCCCCAGGTCTCCTTAGGGCCCATTCCACATCTGGCTAACAGTGTGCATGAACGGACAGCTGCGGGCTAACTCAACTGATATGCTAAAAGACTTTGTTGATGGGAGTATATGTATGTGGAGGAGTGGGTACCACAAACCCCTTTAGTAGTCACCCTATAAAACTGGGGTGCTCCTAGCCTCTAGGAGAATCATGACAATACATGAAAAGTTATCTGTATAGGGCCAGGACCAATCAATGAAGGAGTCAACCAGCTGGACTTCATAAAGGACCATCTCAGCCCATGAGAATGACCGGGCAGAGCACAGAACACCATCCTTAGGATGCCAGAGGTAGAAGAGACAGCCCCTGTCTTAAGCCCTTAAGCCAGTACCACCCCCTCCACTGTCTCCCCGCAACACACACCCTTGTTGGTAAAGGAAATTATTCAGGTCTTGATATTTGACAAGTTAAGACTTTCGGTGAGATTCAGACCAAAGGTGGCTCATTCCCTAGCCTTTCTGCCAAAGAAAGGGCAGGAGCCAGGGAAAGGTGGGAGTGGAGCTCAGAGGCCCGAGGGTAGGACTCAAAGAGCATGAAAGGCAGGTACTAGCTGGCTTCTTTTTGTGGCAGTAGGGATTATGACAGAGAGGATGTGGAGCCAAGATGGGCAGGCCAGGAGCAGCCTGTCTCTTCCCTTAGCATTCTTTATGCATGCAGCCACAGCAGGAAGCTCTCTCTTCCTTACCTCTGCAACCAAGTGCATGGTCTCTGGCCCGATCCAGGCATCCAGGGTTCCCCGCACAGATCGTCCTATCTGGGTCAGCAGGTCAACCGGGGCCTCCTTCTTCTGCTGGCCTGGTGGTGCAAAGTCTCGGTGGGACTGGGACGACGCCGAGTGCAGGACGACAAGGGCCACTAGGACCATCAGGACGGCTTTGAATAGATGCTTGCCCCATGGCAAACTGCTGCCTGAGCCTGCCATGGTTGGGTCTGCCAGGACAGAAGTACAGGGTGAGCAGGGAGCCAGGACTGGGAGAAACTCCCTCTCCCAGCTAGGATTTGCCCAAAATCCTCCTCTACCCTCCCCCCTCCCCCAAAAGCTGAAGCTAGAGAGAGAGAGCTATTCGCTGAGAAAGAGAGAACTGAGACTTTGAATTTCTGCTGGGCACAACCATCTGATTCACCGGCTCCTCTTTCACTTCCTGGACCACTTGCATATTAATTAGCCGGCCCGTACAGGTAGTCCTGGGGTTATGAACACGAGAGTCCGACTTACATACCACCTATGGTTACAAACCAACTCTGCAAAGCCTATTCCATTAAAAATTTGAGGTATATACAATGGTTCATAACAGCAAATGGGCGCTTCTTTGCAAATTGCATCAAAACATTACTGTATTGTTATGTTACAGATGTTTTAGTCTATCTATTTCTGTAATGTTTATGTCAATAGTAAGGTATGCTACATACTATATGCTAAGACTAACTGATTAGACACGAACATTTCCTAACTATTCCCAATTTAAGTACAAATTTGACTTTAAGTTCAACTTAGGAAGGGAACTCATTTGTAATCTGGGGACTGCCTATATTCTTCAATGCTGTAGGGGTGGATGGGCAAGAAGTTCTAAGGTTTATTCCAGTTCTAAAAATCTGAAGGCCTGTGTCTTAGGTGCTATAGGCATAAAAGAATTGTAAGACTTTTAAGGCTTTGTCCTCAAGGAGCTTATAATCTATTTCAGATAAAGGTGATACAAAAAACAACTCAAAAATTACACACATACAGAATTACCATTACATAATGATGTACGGAAAAGTGCATAAGCCATTCACCCCGCAGGACCACTGGGTGAGGTGGGATTATCCTCTGCATCCCCATTTGTACAGATGAGAAGAAAAGGAGGCTTAGAAGTAGGCTAAGAAGTGGAGAGGCCAGGATTTGAACCCAGGCTTGCTGCTTCCAAATCCCATACACATTGGAAGTCAAGGTCATGCAGTGGTTCTAACAGTAGCTGCTCATCAGAAGCACCTGGGAGCTGCACAGAGTACTGATGCCCACGTCCTAGACCAGCGGTTCTGAGGCCACTGTCTGGGTGGCCCTGGCACAGGCTGTAAAAGCTCCCCAGATAAGTCCACCCTGCAAAGTGGAGAACCAATGACACAGAATCTCACCTTCCCCCTCAAAAGTAGACAAAGGGTTAAAGATGACCCTCTAAAGAAACATATTGCTATTATTAACAAACAGCAAACATTTAATTAGGTCATGTCATGCAGCAAGCAAGCCAGGGCGGCACAGTGGTTAAAGTGCTCGGCTGCTAACCGAATGGTCAGTGGTTTAAATCCACTAGCCACTCTGTGGGAGAAAGATAGGGCAGTCTGCCTCCGTAAAGATTCCAACCTTGGAAACGCTATGGGGCAGCTACACTCTGTCCTGTTGGGTCACCATGAGTCGGAATCGGCTTGATGGCGGTGGGTCAGGTGTGTCGTGCAGCACCTCTTCCATTCAATCTTCTCAGCAACCTAGCAGGTGGGTATTGTCATTATCTCCTATTTTTACTGATGACGAAACCAAGGAAGGACAGGTAGGCTATATAGAAACCTGGGCATTTGGCATCAGAACCCACTCACACAACCACCCTGCTGCATTGCTCCAACTTAAGTCTCAGAAGGAAAATCCCTTAAGAAGGGATTAGAAAGCCAGACAATAGATTATTCATGAGCTAAAATAAACTTGGCATTTACCAATCATGGCAGGGAGTTACTGGTGAAAATTCTCCTAAAGGCTCTGTGCTCTGAGCTTGTCTGTAACATGAAGCTAAAGGCAAGTTAAGACCCAACAAGTACCTACTCACTGAACCAGGTGAGGATCAGCCAAGAAAAATGTTCGCAAATCCCCCTCCTATTATATTGGCCACCATGCTGGAGAAATGTCAAACAGCACCAGCAAATCCCCCATTGTCTCCCAGGCTCAGTAGTGAACCTGTAGCTTCAGGGAGTTTCCATGATTCAGATCTGATGGTGTGATGAGAAGCCATGGCCCTGCGGTAGGAGCAGCCAGGCTTTTTAAGTTTTTGCAGTTACCATGGCACTGGGGGGTTGGCCAGAAATCCAAAGCCAAGAGGATGCAGGAAAGGGGAGAGAGGCATCTTCCTACTCTTGCTTAGTGGGAGGGTCCAAGAAAGGGTTCTAAAAATACTACATTCAGGGCCATTTCTGGCCCCGACACAGCTGCTCTCACCCCTCCTGAGGGCCCCAGGACCATGCCGCACTGCGAATCATGCAATCCATGTGGAAGACCTCTAGCTGGGAAAGCCTTCTATTCTCTGGCACAAATCAAGAACCAGATGGTTCCTGCTTGCAGTGGTCAGAGAGGAGGACAGCTCAGGTCTGTTCCTGAACTATCTGGGTCATAACCAGGTTGGGGACTTAAAGAGCAGGGTTGCTATCTTGGGTTGGATCCTATATCCAAGGACCTCCAGCAGGAGGGATCAGATGTCATCTCCTCCACTCTAGAAGGTCAGGGTGACATGCACGGCAGCCTGCTGCTTTCTGGACCAGCCTCAACTTTCTGCCCCATCTGCCACAGTTGAGGGACGCTGAGGACCTGGAAATGAACCCTCCACACTGAGGCCGGCATCTGACACTTCAGAAACCAAAAGCCAACAGAATCCGGAGTGTTCTTTCTGGAGATACCAAGTGCGGCTGACGGGCTAGTCTGTCTTCAGGTGATTCTCTCTAACAGGATTCCTTCTCATTTGTTCCAGGCTAGTCCCAGGCAGCAAGAAGCAGTCCCACCGCCACCATGCCTCCTCACTTTGGCCCAGTGAACTACATTTTAAAAAGAAAGAGGCCATGGCAGCCAAGAGCCCAAACAGTTGCAAGCTCTGAGAGGAGAAGGTAGGTCTTAAGAGTCTTTGTCTCCAACCATGGGGACTTAAGACTAATAGCAGGCACTCAGCAACAAAAATAACCATTCTAAGAATTCTCTTGTGGTATTTTACAAGCTGGTTACATCCTCATCTCCTTTTCCTCTTAACAACAATCTTACAAAGTGCTACTACTCTCCCCCAAGTTACTCACAAAACAAAGACTTGGAGAAGTCAAGTGACCTGTCTAAGGTCACACAACAGAACTGGGGCTTGACTTCAGAATCCAAGATCTAAATCTTGCCCTCCTGCTTGAAGCACGCCCCCATACCACCTTCCTGAAGGTCATCTATTAAGACTGTTAAGGCACCGAACAAGCCTGTTAGCTAGTCCCTGCCCTCAAAGAGCTTAAGGTTCTGCCAAATATCAACAAGCTCAAAGCAGGGGGACATCCAGACTCCCAAGAGGAGACCACAAGCCAGATGGCCCAGTGGCTGGGCTTACTTGCCATGGTTTTGTACCAAGAAGCATGAGAGGACAGCAAAAGATAGGGTCAAGACCGGCCAGTTCTGTTCAGGTGCCCACATTATGGCCCTGGCTGGGCCAGGAGAACCGGGCTGGGCTGGGCAACTGCTTCACTTCCCACGGTGGTAAGAAGGACTAGATGTCTAGCTGTGGTTTGGTAAGAGGACAGGGTGGGGCAGTCCACACCCCCCTGCCAAGGTTCTTCCTCTACTTGTGGGCGGCTTCCTTTCACTCTATAAATCAACCCGCAACAGGAGGGGCGGCTAACTTAGTGTTCTCTGCCAGCTCTGGTTTTCCCATCCTCTGCTCATAGCCCCCTCTAGGGAGCAGAGGTACTCAACTCTGGCTGTGCATCAAAACACCCTGTGGACACCCTGAAAGCAAGGATGTCTGCCCCACCCTCCCAAAGACGCCCCGGCTTTTATTTTTAAAACTCCAGAGATTTCTGATGCAGAGACAGACAATTGCACAAATGATCTACATGGCAGAAAAACGTCCACATAGGCAAAGGCCCAACAGTGTGGCACTCTACAGAGAACCCTAGGCCTGTACCCCAGGCTCAGCTCTGCCACACACCAGAAGCCACTGCTCATGGCAGCTACTTAACCAGTCTGAGCTTCAGCCTTCCCAAAGATACAGAGTTGTTGCAAAGAGTTAAGATGTTTCTGTAAGAACTTTGTAAACCCTGACCATCTACAGAAGTGTTGCAGCCCACTTTTCCCCTCAAACTGTCAAGGTAACACTCGTTACATTGCAGCATCATTTAGCAATTTATATACCTGTCTTACCCATTAGACTTTAATCACCTCCGCTCAGACCTGCCCTCTAACTTATCTTGGAATTACAGTAGCTTAGTGCCTAAGGCACTTGACTGCTAACCAGAAGGCTGGCGGTTCAAACCCACCAGCCACTCCTTGGAAGGAAGATCAGGCAATCTACTTCCGTAGTGATACTGTCTCAGAAGCCCAAGGAGGGGTCACTATGAGTCAGGTCCGACTCGAAGGCACATAACAACAACAACAGCATAGAACAAGGACTACATGTACTTGTTAAATGAATACTAAACTAAAAAAAAACCCTCACTGCCCTCAAATCACTCCTACTCATAGTGACCCCTACTGGGTTTCCGAGACTGTAAATCCTTACGGAAGTAAATCACCCCATCTTCCTTCCACGGAGCAGCTGCTGGGATTGAACTGCTGACATTCTGACAGCAGCCAGATGCCTTATCCACCACTTAGGTGCCTGTCAACAGAAGAATGGATAACCAAAGTATGATATAGTACCTACCCACAATGGAATACTACGAGACACTAAAGAATGTAGAATCTACAAAACACCGCATAATGTACATGAACTTGGAGGTTATTACGCTGAGTGAAATAAGTCAACCACAGAAGGACATAGATTGTACTAGTTCATTATTGTCAAAAGTGAAGGAAAGGTTTATATGTACAACTAAACTTTCTTCGTTGGTTACCAGGGGTGGGCGGGGAGCTCAGGAAACACTGCAAAAATAAATATATATAAATATATAAAAGAAAAGTAAAAACGAGTATTAGAGGCACTCCAGGAACCCGAGAGTGTAGAA